TGTGGAATATTATTGCATAACTCGGTTTTGCAGGATAATGTGTTTCCTCTGTTATGCCTTAAATGTGTGCTTGTTTATTTATTGCACATTTTTAAAGCCTCGGACATGTCGAGGAATTTGGATTGTGAATGTTCGTAATAATTATTTGTTCGGAGGTTGACCAGATAAATTTAATTATTTGTGTAAAAAACATGTAAACCCATCCGTGGGTCTAGGATCGAAATATGTAATTGTTGTAAATTATATTTTGATCGTGTTGATGCAGATGAACCCGGACGATCATGGCGACCGGTGATCAACCCGACCGATGGACCTCGACGACCCAATTGACCGCGGACCACTGCGAGATCACAATCGGCCGCACGAGTAAGCACGGAACACGGCGGCTTGGCCGCCAGGTGTCCCAAGTGCTCGACTCACGGCAGACGGAGGACGATGATCAGTCGTGTGGACCAGTCGGCGCGACTGGAACAGCCCGAGCATGGCGGCGCAAGGCGCGGTGAATGGGTGTTGTGAGGTGAACAGAACCCGGCGATCATCGCACAAGGCGCTGCTGGGAGACGCTCATGAGCTTGCCGACGACTACTCGACGGCGACCCAGCAGGAATCAACATGAAGTCTGCTGGAGTGATAATTCAAGTCTGATGAGGAAAATTCGGTTCCAATGGGACATGGACTGAATAGTTTTTTAATTCACCTAGAGCTGGAATTAATGGTCGTAATGGTGGGATTTATTTCCTTATTTTATTATTGCTATTAATTGTTATGCATGGTTAGTTAATTGCTATGGGGCATATGATTAATTATTGGAATTGCGTAAGTATAAATCCTCAATTAAAAATTATACTAAGTTTGAGAAGGGATTTTAAATTACAGTTAATTGTAAAATTCCTAAGACCTCCATTTCTGATTTATTGGTAAATCAATTAATTGAAGTATGGGCTCACCCTCGGGTGACATCACTAAGATTAATTGTAGGAAATTACCAGAACAAATTTCTTATTATTTCTGATTTGTTGGTAAATCAATTAATTAAAGTATGGGCTTCCCCTCTGGTGACATCACTAAAATTAATTGTAGGAAATTACCAGAACAAATTATTAAATGGACAATTAGAGAGATTCTTATGAGAAAGTACGGGCTTCCCCTCAGATGACGTATAATCGAATTCGTATGATCTCAGGATAGAGAAATGGGATTCACTTAGAATGCGATTTATTTATAACTCCCCTCGGGGTCCCTGGATGTATTGCATGGCCAAATGGAGACCGACTATTAACTTCATTCGTCATGAATTTGGTTTTGACTTATAGAAACTAATGGGCCTTTGAAATCTCTTTTCTTGTGAATGTTGAGTACGTAGGGTTACCCTCATATCATGCGTTAGTCTCGGTGTTTTGAGATGTCGGTGAATTTAAATTAATGTTGTTTTGAGGATATCAACGTTAACAGTTAAATTCAAAAGTACTTAATTAGTAAAATTTTTCGTTATTCTCTAGTTTATTCAAACATGTCTTTCAATATGTTGTCCTTTATTCTCAAAGATAATTTACTGTTCAAAATTTATTAGAAATAGAACTTGGATAGTGTCCTAAGTTGTTGTGAAGTACGAGCCGTAGGGCGAGTGTATCCAATTAAAGCAAAAACGACGCAGGAAGTCGTCCGACCTATCCTTAAGACAATAAATGTAGTTCCCCATCCGATTATTAGAACTTTCTGGATTTTTTGTGATTATTTATTTGCTATATATTTGTTTCTT